ATCTCAGTGACCCTTGCTTCAATATGGTAGAATCTCCTGGACTTCCTCAGCTGCGGCGTGTCTCGTGTGATGGCCTGTTCCGACATTGGACGTTTAGCACCCTATCGCTCCCGGTTTTGGCTGAAGAGGATGCCATGGCCAGCAAGCAGGACAGGAACAAGACCAAAGTACAACCTTCTTATACCAAACAAGCGAGCATAACTACGAATTTCACACATGAACATCCAAATTGCGTATGCAATCCTAAATATAACCATTTCCACCAAGAAATGTAGACGGTGCAGACATTCCTTTCGGAATCAAGCATGAAACCACCAATACATGCCTTGCACCGCAACAAATTAAACCAATGATGAGCTTGTCGCCAGCTAGAACGCAGTGCCCACCTCTGGAACAGCAGGGCAGAGCCAAACACAGCACACCGTCACTCCGCTGATGCTATGGAAACCGTTTGAAGAGTGTCGAAGATATGTCCACGCTCCATCGATACTACGCTTATGCGGTCATATGCACGCTGTCTGTTTCCCGGGTTACACTTTGAGGTCTCGAAAGGGTATAGAACTAAACATTTATTACCTAATCCGGTGGTGATAGTATATGTACACGTCAATCGTGGTCACCGTTCAGCCCATCTGTTGGCTTGTGGTCATGGACTGACTTCTCCAAGGGCCCGTTGACGAAGGAGTCGTGGACGAAGTTCTCAACGAGCTTTCTCTGTGGAAGGACGTCTTCGAATGACTTCTTCCAGTCCCTGTACTCAAACCACTTCAGCATCAGTTCGACAACGTGCGTTGTCGTCAACACACGTCTACCGTTCAGCTTGATGTACTCGTCAATTGGCAGTCTTTTCGTCACTATGCCTAGTTTCTCGGCTTTCTCCTTGCACAGATCCTTATGGCGCCCTTTGTCAACTATGCCTCCGATGACATATGTCATGCCCGGTTCTAAAGTTTCCAGAATCTCATCAGAATCTGCAGAGAGGTACACATAGTGATCGTCGGGAACAAATGCCTCCTCTTCGAACTTCACGTGGTCCCAATGCGGCCAGTTGGAGTTCATAAGACAGTCTTCAAATCTTTTCTTCAACTCCTTGTTAAAGGAGGTGATTCTGATGTCTGCGGTGTTCTTCGAGATACGATTGGCACCGTACAGCCTTGTGATCTGTGTACTTAACGATACTCTTTCGTTGTAGTTCATCAAATCATCAAAATCACAATCTATGATTAGAGAAACCCCACTACTCTTTTGATCCGATGGCACTCTTGGTCTCTTGTGTAAGAGCTCTTCAGGAATTTCTTCACCTTTTGCCTTGAGCTCCTCAATCTTTGCACGACGATTTGCCCTAGCCTTGATCTTCTTTTCACGACGGATCTTTGCAATGTCAACCTTACGTTCCTCCATTAGTTTTCTCTTTTGAAGTCTTTTCCATTGCTTCTTGGACATTCCCTCGGGAATTTCAGGTTTCTGGTGCAATGGCTGTTGATCTTGCTGCTCTTGCTGCTGCTGCTCATTGGTAGTCTCCACCGGCGTCACCGTTTCTTCACTCATCACTGAAAGACCGTGCAACTGCTCCATCCAATTGTTATTCTATTGTCCCGACTCATCGCTGAAATTTTTTTAGTTATAGTTTGTCCCGTTTGTCCAAACATCCAGACACCTCAAGTTCTTGTTGTTCCGGGACAAATGGGACAAATCATAAGCTCGACGCGAAAGAAGGAACAAAGGCATCAGATTTGCCACCCAAATCAACATCAATTGGTCAAGAGAGGTCCTGCAAAGCTGTACATGTATAGGCCATCTTTATTCCCTCTCATTGTACATATTTAACTATACCTAACCAACTAAAAACAGCACTGTATCTACATCTGAAAGACCTTTGTTTAGCATCTGATGCAGGCACCAAAGGAACAGGAACTGTACTCTATAACGGATCGGACCTTTGAGCTGTCGTTGGACGATGACGACGACGTCGACGATGTCGCTGACGATTCCAACACTGCTGTTGATTCAAAGGCAACAGGGTTAGGCTCCATACTGGACGAAGGATTGGGGTCCAACTCGGATCATCCAAAGGATGACATGCCACTGGAACATGAGCTAATAACATCGAGCCTAGACATTTTGATGAGAATGAGTGGGAACTCAATGCCGTTGAACAGTGTAACTAGCCACAGCGACTTGTACAGCAGTCTAAAAATGGTCCATAAGCTTTGCGAATCAAGCGAGTGTAAGCTGAAGTTCCTTTCTAAGAACTACAGCTTCCTCGAAGGGCTGTACGACAGCTCTCGAAAGGAGCTGGAGTGGATGAAACTACAGCTACGAAGAAGCGAGGCCCACGTAACAAGGCTTGAACAGGAGCTGGAGACAGCGTTGAGCGATGTGGATAAGCACGCAATTGCTAAACACCTCCCGAAAGGCATTGCTGAGGGCCCATCGGAAGCCGGCTGTGACAACCCGCAGTCGACCCAATTCAAACTGGCAACGGCCCTGCAAACCATCGAAAGGCAAAACGCTGAGCTCAGGAGCTACAAGAGGTTCATCAAGGATATGATGGACACCTCTTAGACTTGGAATTGGTCACGCTCTCCGCCCATTGTCCCCGTTGTCAGCGTATGGTGATGGCACGCTAAACCATGCATACAGCAACTCCGGTAATTCTCCTTCTCTCCCACTCTGGTGCGTCTGTTGCTGCCACTACTGTGAATGGGCATTTACGGCATGATTATATAAGCGATAGATAAACACCAAGCAGCAGTTCTAGATCAGTTCCATCGTTTCAAAGGGTCCAGGCCTTTTGCGCTAAATTTAACCCACACTGGATCGAAGTTATAATGGGAGATAAAGACGAAATGGCTCATGAACGTTAATCAATTGGCTCATGAACGTGGTTGGTCCGTTGATTCCCTCATCAGGCCTGCGAGCAGTGGCACCGGCAACGCTCGCAATGTGGACGCCATGAAGGAAGAGGACGGAGCATGGAGACAATCGGAGCCAAAGGGCTCTACTATCCGGATAAATTCACACCACTTTCGGAAAAACTTTTCCTTTGATTCTGTCACTTTTCTTTTTTTTTAGCCATTTTTTACAGTTTTTTCTTTATTTAAGCTTTTGCCTCTGCCTCACAGCTTTTCTTTTTCTCCGAAGCGGTTGGAATAGGCTATTTCATTTCACACACACCGACACGAATTCCAATTTCTTCATTTCTTCTTCTTCTTTCTTTGTTTTAATACAATTTGCCATAGCTTGTTTTTGAATTACATTCACGAACTGACCGCTTGAGAGCGAATTTCATACAGTTATTTCAAGCCCTGGGACGCTGAGACACTGAGAGCACTGGTACAGACCACCATCCTCATCCACTTGGCTATAAATATCTAGTTGTACCCACGTTTTCCTTCACCAGACGCTGGATCCCTTGTCCCTGTCACGCACACAACCATGGATCCACTTATGAACAAACTCCAGAGAAAGCTGACGAACGATTCCACCCTCAGCATGGGCACAGAGCCGTTGTTCTCAAGACAGGGCTCTTCCACCTCGGTATCTACCAACACAACGATGCCTTCGCCCCGTGTACTGCCACAGTCGCTGTCATTCACAAAGATCAACGACTCGTCGCCAGTTCCACCGTTGCAGAGCAACGGATCCACGCTAAGTTTGGATTCTCTGCATCTGGCACTTTCAGGCATCAAGGGGGCAAACTCGCCTAAGGTTCTCTTGAACCAGCCAAAATCTACAAACAGACTAACAACTACACCAACGAATGAGCCATCGCTGGACTCGAAATGGTGCATTGTTCTCGTTGGACTGCCTGCAACTGGTAAATCGTCCATTTGTAAGAACTTGATCAAGTTCTCAACAAGACGGTTCCATGAGGACTATCACATCCAAAACTTCAAGATTGATTCCTTCAACGCTGGCCACTTCCGTCGTAAACTCTCAAACTTCAAAGACCAGACTTCGGACTATTTCAGCGTCAATAACAGCGAAGCCAAGTTACAACGTGAAAGATTTGCGCAAATTGCCCTGGACCATCTGCTGAACTCGTTACTGGGTGAACAGATCAACGTTGGTATATTTGATGCTACCAACTCAACAAGGGCTCGTCGTAACTACATCTTCAACGCAATTGCCGAGAAGGAGGCCAAGACTGGCATCAAGATCAACACTGTGATACTACACGTGAAATGCACAGATGACAAGTTGTGGAGATATAACGTGGAAGGGAAGACAGTTGGTCCAGATTACACTCAAATGGCTCATGACGATGCCATTAACGATTTTATACACAGAGCTGAATGCTACAAACAGGCATTTGAGGATATTACACAGGAGGAGCTACAATCTCATGAAGGTTGTATCTACGTTGAAGTTGACAATGCCGGCAAGCAGTGCAACGTTATCAACACTGGATTAAAAGATGTGGAGCACGATTTGATCTTCGCAGAGATGGAGTCGTTCTTCACTTCATACTATAATGATTATGGAAGGGAATATGAAACAAATGCTAGAGAGTTTTGGTGCCATCCACACCCTGAAACAGTGAAATAACTCACCAATATTGAGGGTTTCTTTTCAACAGTTATATTATACGCTTTTATACATACAAACAAGCAGGGGGATGTTATCGAGGCTAACGTTAACAGGGTTCTTATTCTATTCTTTTTGGGCAGGTTTTTTCTTTACATTTGGTTTCTTTATACAGTTTTATACAATATGAATTCACTTTATTTGTATCTGATTTATACGTTTACCTAGACTTTTTAGAGACATTTTGGTATTGAAATGTTCTCTTTAATCTTTCTATCGGAGGTGAATAACCCCCATTCGGTTTCCCATTTAGCATTGGGTCTATGGTAGACTTGCTTCCAAGGCTCATCAAAGGCTTCAAAGAAATACCATGGCCTTTTCCCATCTTTTGCACTGCATATAAAGCTGTCCAAGAATTGTTGCATCTCTTTAAGTCCTGCTTTGGCAGCACGATATTGTCCTCCACCATAGGGCCATCCAACTTCGGAAAGAATGACTTGAGGTGTATGCGATCTTGTAGTTATAAGTCGTCTATACGGATCCACTTGAGTAGTTAGATAGTTATGGGTCCAATTCCCAGCCTCCACAGCGTTTACACCATTCAAAAATGGATCAACGTTGACCCCATAAAAGTCACAGTGTTTCATAACGTCTGTGCTAACTCGAGAACCTAATTCAGATGTACCGACGGGTAAGTCCCATTTCAATTCTTTGCGAATAAAGCTTTTAACTTCGTCAATGTACCCAATGAGCTTATCCTGTGTTTCATCTTCTCTGAACAAAACTTCATTGCCGATATAAACAGATTCAAAGAGTTCCCTTGGATATTTCTGTAACACGGATTTCAGCTCTTGGATCTGTTCATTGTTTGCGGCTTCATTGGCTCCAATCCATACTCCCATGGATAAAGATACGTTCAAGTGTAACAGTTGAATGGCATTCAAGATATGTCTAGTTTGGTTGCATTGTGTACCATAAGTCCGTATCCTTGAGGTAACCTGTGACAAGAGAGCAACATCAAGAATAACATCTTTTGCAGTAACACCGCACTGAGGTGAAATGACATTTTTTGGTGCATAATCAATGCCATAGAAAACGTTTGTTAGATTGTCATTGGTCATCAACTGTCTTAGCTCTCTACTTCTTTGATAATTATGTGGGATATTCTCAAATTTTGAGATTCCAGCAATGGTTGGAGTTAATGGTTGAGGTCTCATTAGCTTCCGGGGTCTGTGTTCTCCCTTGCCACCAGTTCTGACACCATCTGTGGAGTTGTTTCCCAAAATGAACGGGCTTAACAATTCCTCTCTATGATGTGGGGAAATGTTTGATAAATACTTTGTCACAATAGAATCCGAGCCCCTCATCAAGATTATGATCAATGGAATGCAAATACACATTACAATCATCAATAGCATAAATAGGCACCACATGATGATATTGTTCCTCTTAACCATGTGGTTCTTCTCCTTGGTTTTGCCAACTCCACTGTTCAATCCTTCTAAGTTCTCCTTCAAAAACTTTGAAGTTTCACCATCAGCTGTACGTAGATTCAACTTGGAATCCTGTGCTCTGTAGAGAGATTTGAAGGGTAATGCACTTTTAACAATTTCCATGAATTTTGAAGGAGAATTCGGTTTTGCCATTGCTTTATGACTTTGAATTTGATCTTTCAAACAATTCAATTCACTTTCATTTGTAGCCACGTTGAATTTATCACTTGAGGCATATCCAAGTTCAGATATCTGATCCAAATCTTCAGGGTCATCAAAAAGCACACTGTTGATTGGAAGTTGTTGAGTTTGTTCCCCCAAAACTTCAGGTTTCCTCTTTACAGAGTTTCTTGAAAACAATAACGGTTTACCATGCTCACCAGACTGAACTTGTCCCGTGGAGTAATCAGCTTTTGTAGATTTTGATCTTGAAAGAGCCCTCTTGATCAAAGCTATATCATTGTGTGTCCTATGGATAGCCCCACATCTTAACAAGGAGTCTTGTAATATCAGACGGTCCGACTCTTCTGGAGATGCAATGATCTGAGGTTTAAAAGAGGCCGCAACGTCGGAGGTTTCACTCAAATCGTTTAAATGTCTCAATGAATTCATACGATTAACTGAATGCGTCTCAGCGTCATTATTAGCACTTTCACTGCGTAAAAGATGAGAGGGTAGAGGATCAATTGGCGAGAGCAAATTGGGCTCAGATAACGTATTGTTGTAAGCGTCTTCAACTTCGTCATAGTTACTGGAAGGTGATCTTACTTCATCGATACGCCGGTACACAGTTTCATGAGTTGGTGGAGAAACTTCATCGACGATTTGTTGACTGCTTCCCAAGAAGGATTCTCTTACCAAGCCATCAAGAGTGTTTATAGGTGCAGATGATACCACATGGTTCATCTGATCCAAAGGCGCGTCCTCGTGATGGCCATGTTCCGGTAAGGGTTCAGATTGTGCGCCTTGTTGTGCTTGAACGTAGTACAGCACTGTATCCAATATCTCCTCGTTTGGACCACCAACGCTGATGCCCAATTGGTCATCCAGAGGACGCACATCGCTTGGAGAACGAACAGTGGTAGAGTCAGAGCTACGCAACAACGTAGCCTGCTCCAGAGCAGCACTGACCGCGGTTGGGTTTGCAGTCGACATTCTCGATATCACGCTTAGATGGTCATCAGCGCCTTCCTCTTTGAAGGCCCCAGTCTCAGGAGACCTTCCATTCAGCACAGGCACAACCATTGGTCAGTGTAATATAGTGGGAGCTGTTGTGTATCAACGAGCTATTCCTCCGTGTTGATACGACGTTGCAATTGTGTATCTTTGAATTATACTGGACTTCAGCCAGTAGATTACACAAATTCGAGAGATACACAAAAGCAGACGCCATATGACACCGTTACCAGAGCCACGTTGTCATGGCATCGAGCAGCACACCCATTGGAAGGAACATGGCCACAACACACGGGCCACTAAGCTCTGGAGATGATGAAGTGACAACACCACGCTCAAGAGCACCAGCAACAAACCGGGAGCCCACCTCACAGGACATCACAACCAAAGAGGGCACAGTCAGTCACAGCTTCAGCAAAAGACACATTGAATCTTCAACGACGGCATTCCACAGCATTCCACAGCATTCCACAGCGGATCATCGCAGCGAAGTAAACGGAAAAGTGTATCACATCTCCAAAATGTAAACAAACGGTGTAAACAGTGTAAACAATGTAAACAGTGCCCCTACCAACGAGCCCTTTTTTATCCCGCCTATGTCCGACGGCGTTTAGCAGAGGCCCGTTTTATAAGCACTTTTACTTCTTCGAGGGTCTCTGCACTTGCACTGAATGGCTGTCTGAGCATCACAGCGCCAATGGCCAATCAGAGTAGCTCACCGCCACTGAGAAGCCGTAGAGGCTCGAAGAGGATCGCACCATCCGAGCAGGGCTCGTTTTTCCCGAGATCGTCGTCGTCGTCGTTGCTGGCATCGCAGTCATCGGACGTTATTCAAGCCGATGGCGATGTTGATGTCAACTACACGCCCCCATGGACAGAGCCCTATGTGATTGGTATTGCCGGTCCGTCAGGCTCTGGCAAGACCTCAGTTGCTTCGAGAATCATCCACGAGATCAACACGCCCTGGACAGTGCTGCTGTCGCTGGACAACTTCTACAGACCTTTGACCCCCAAGCAGCTGGAGATGGCATTCGACAATGAATACGACTTCGACAACCCCAACGCAGTCGACCTGGACTGCTGCTACGAATGCGTCAAATCGTTGAAGGGTGGCCATAAGACCCAGATACCGATATACTCCTTCGCCAAGCACGATAGGGAGAAGGACAGATGCATCACCATCTACGGGGCCAACGTCATCATCATTGAGGGAATCTATGCTCTGGCACACGAAAAGCTTCGTGATCTGATGCATCTCAAGATCTATGTGGATACAGACTTGGATGTGTGTCTGGCAAGAAGGCTGAACCGTGATATTGCTCAGAGAGGCCGTGATCTACAAGGTGCCATTCAACAATGGACGAAATTTGTGAAGCCAAACGCTGAAAGGTACGTCAAACCTACCATGAGCCACGCAGACCTTATCGTGCCCAGAGGCTCAGATAACGTGATTGCCATTGACATGCTTATCAGGCACATCAAGAAGCACCTGGCGTTGAAGTCAGAGGCTCATCTACAAAAGATTGAGAAACTCACAGGCAAGTTATCATTCACAAAGGAAAACTATCCAAATCTACAAATCTTAGAGAACACTCATCAAATGAGAGGAATATACACAATATTGCTGGACAGGGAAACCTCTATGGATGATTTCATCTTCTATTTCGATAGAGTTGCCATGACGTTGATCAACAAGGCATTGGAGTCTTGCACAGAGTATAGAGAAGTGGTTGTGGAGACCCCATTGACGGCAATGAAATCTGTCATTCCAAGCTCGAAGTTTGTTGCAGTGAACATCGTCCGTTCAGGCGACTGTTTTATGCATTCTTTGAGAAAGACCTTGCCAGAGGTTGCCATTGGCAAGCTCTTGATCCAATCAGATGCCACCACAGGCGAGCCACAGCTCCACACCGAGGCTTTACCTCAGAGCATTGATGATTCAAACGCCAAAGTTCTGTTGTTTGATGCCCAGATAATATCAGGAGCTGGAATCATAATGGCGATTCAAGTGCTTGCGGATCATGGTGTAAAACCCCAGAACATTGTCGTCATCACCTATCTCGGCTCTGAGGTTGGGCTGAGTAGAATCATGAGAGCGTTCAAAGACGTTACAGTCGTTGTTGGCATGGTTGGCTACAGAGATAACATTTCAAAGGAACCATGGTTTAGAAAGAGGTTTATTGATTCCAAGTACTTCGGTACATAAGTGCGTCTTAATATTGCAACCCAGGAATGTTGTCAGCACCGCCTCTATTGTAGTTATCCAAACCAGGAAGGTAGTTGTCGTATCTCTTGTCATCGTGCATTGTTCCACCAAAGTTACCAGGCCCTATGTTTTCATTCTTTGGAACAACAGCGTTGATGGAGTTATTGATTGCAAAGTACCAAGCACCTTTCTTATCGTCTGTGTATGGAGGATCATTAAAAGCATTCGGATCGTTGGGACGACCACGCGACCAGAATCTTGCTGAACGATCACCACCAGCAGAGGATAGGATATGGCCCATTGGATGGTAATCCAGGGTGTATATGGCCTTTTCGTGAGCGTATGGAATGGTGTGGTACGGCTTAACAGTTTCCAAGGACTCAGGAACAACATCGTTCAACATGAAATGGCTCAGAGAGCCATCATAGCCACCAACGGAGAGCATGGAGCTGTGCATTGGATTCCAGCAGAGCGAGGATATGTCAACTTCGGATCTATAGATATACAGGTCCTTCATACTTCTCAGATCAAAGATTCTCATTGATTTATCACGAGAAATGGACGCCAGCAGGTTCGAGCCTGTCTGAGGCTGGAACCTTGTCTTCGTTATTGTATGTTTAAATCCATGTAATGTTGATACTGCGGTGCCTGATCTTGGGTCCCATAGCTTTATCAAGTTATCCTTAGAGCCACTAACCACGAGACCTAGACTTGGATGCCAATCTGCAGACTTAACGTCCCAGTTGTGTCCCTTCAGCACAGACTCCTCCTTCCCGTTACTGAAGTTCCAGATCTTCAACGAGGAGTCGTCACTGGCAGTCACAAACTTCGAGTCGTTAGGTGCGAATGCAACGTCTCTGATGGCGTCATCATGGGCATGTATGATGTTCACGTTGTTGAAGTTTGTCTGCCAAAACTTCAAAGTACCCTCCTGATCACCACTCAGGAGCCAATCATCGTTATGGCTATAGTTCAACGACAGGATCGCAGTGTCGTGTGCCTGCATAATGGTCTCGAAGTTGAAAGACATCCCATTCCACAACGTGAACTCGCCAGAGTGCGATGCCACCAGCAGTCTGCGCCCTTCTGGCGTGAATTTTATCGCATGGATAGCGTGCTTGGCCTTGTTGGAGCTCAGGTGGACGAACTTAGACTGCGAGTCCACAATTGGCTTGTCTCTGTAGGCCTGTGGTGGCAGCATATCAATCGTGTACGAGGCCTCGGGACGTATATACCCCAGTGACTTGGGTACCTTATGGCCCATCTTCCTCATCGTCACCCACCGCCCCATCGACGCTCCATGGTCGATCACACGACGATACGCCGTCTTCTTCTGCTGGGGATGTGCCTGGTTATCCATTGCTCTCTGTCGTTGACGCCGGCACCTGGTGATAATAACAACGTTGTAGTCATTAGAGAAGGCTCACAAGTTTTGATGAGGGTATGTGTGTGGTGTTCGGGTGTTCACCTTATGGCGCAGATCGCGCTAGGCCAGCGAAGACGGCCACTTTGCCAAACATTCTTTTTCGCCCCATAGTTAAGAATTGCGAAAAAGGAAATCTTGCCCTTTTTGGAGGGATTATGTGGTCGAGTTGGTGGAGAACTAGCAGACTAACCGGGCCAGGGTCTGAAAATTGGGAGATTGACCTGGCAAAGACTTGAGAACTGGCACTTTCTCGGGCCTGGACTTGAAAACTGGCAGATTCAAGGTCAGAAGGGCGAAAATCCATGGACTCGCCATCGGATGTGGGACTTTTCAGACCTTTTGATAGGTTTTCTTCAGGGCTCACAACCATAAAGGGCGTGATGTTCGCTTTAAGCGTAGGCGGTGGTTACGTCAAAGTCTCCGTTAATTTCCATTAAAGGCAAGTCACCAGTGTAAATACATAGGAAACACTTCGAAGAATAGCCCCGGGACTCGTGATTATGCTTGGAAAGCCATTCCTGGGTGATAACTACGTGATGTTGAGATGTTTGGCCAGTGATAAGCACAATGGACTTGTAAACCGTATAAACTGCGGGAAGCAATATCTCAGCTAGTCATAATTCATTGTGGGCCATGAACTCACACTGGTTGAAGTTAGACATCTGGATTTGAATGGAGCCACTCTTTGGATTCATTGGTTCACTCTCGCCACGAAACAGTAGCTCAGCCTTCCCCACAATGACATTGCTCAAACTGATCAGTGCTGAATTTTTAGAAGGATCAAATAAACAATCCTTCGACGCAGGAGAATCAGAGAACCATGATGATCTTGGATCGTCTTCATCAATATAGTCCAGCAACAAAGGACACAGAGTCATCTTAGCCTTAGCACTGATCTTCAATCCGATCGCTGAAGGGCTTTCTTCACCAGCCTCTTCTTCTGTGCCGTTATCGGATACAACAAGACTCGAAGGCATGGCATGAATTCGTTCAATATCCAAGTCTGAGACAAACGCAAGGGCGCTAGTAATATGTCTTCTCCGCATTGTTTTGATCAATGAGGCTCTTGACAGTGCTTTATTGTGCCATTTCATGTCGAAGAACTGGAGAATAAAGGCCAGTTTATAGCGAGAATGTTCCTCGTCTCCCTCGAAGGACCGAATGACACAGGCAGACTTCTCGAACACACTGTCATAGCCTGATTTGCGCCACAGAAGATCATACAATGATACACTTAACTCCTTACCAGGTTTTGGTAAACCAGAACTCCAAATACCATACACCTTCTCGATATTCTGGTCTCCCATGATCCTCTCAAGCACAGAAAGCGTTGCTGGCACTATCGACTCACTAGGTGAAGAACAGGACTTCACAAGCTGGCGTGGGAATCTCCTTTTCAAATAAGCAACGATATCCTCGCTGATATGAGCAAACGTAAGCTTCTTTGTATCTATGATTTCCTTATTAGCCTCTGGACCAATTAAAAATGGCATCTCAAGGGTAAAGACATTCGTTTCACACTTTGAGGATTCTGTAACGCAACAGCACGAGGAGTTCAAGCGCATATCAGGATCCTTCGTAGCCTGATGAACAAGAGATCTGAGCTTTATTTCAAGGGTTTTGCGGACTTTTGAATCACCAGTAATTGCTTCCCACTTCTGACAGATCTCCTTCATGGAGGTTGGATTCCTGCTAAGGTACATCTTGTAATCCCTCATCGCATATAGACAAAGACTCATAGCTTCATCAGCTGATACAACATCGACTTGTCTGTCCGTTCCATTTAGTAGTCGATCGTAGAGCTTGGTAGATTGCATCACTGTTTCAGGCCTTTCAAGTGACTTTGGAATGATGCATTCCAAGAGTAATCTTGCCTTTTTGCTCAAAAAGTCTTGTTCGATCTTATTCCATTCATCTTCCACATGTTTTAGATCTGATGCAGAACCGCTAACGGAGTTCCTTATCGCATGGTGATCTGCCCGTAGGCTTGTAGTGATCAATTTCAGCTGCTGTTCAACAGTCTTTGAATTCTCCATGACCTCGATGTTGAATGATGGCCGGCCAAAAGCTTCACGTGTAACATCGAACTGCACAATTGGTCTAGCCAATGTAAGTATGTTGCGACCAGCTATATTTCTTTTGACATCTGTAGAAGGTTTTGATAGTAGAGAAGTCTGCAAACAGTTCGCTTCTGCAACAACCAACGACAAGCAGTTACTCACTGACCTAGATATCATACTTCGCCCAGCGCTTGTGATTATCCTATAACTCGAGTGGTTTGTGGATTTGATAGTTCCCATGGATCTTTCCAGGCCATAACATGAGAAAAGATTCGAATGCCCATATTCTTTAACTAAGGTCATCACATGAATGAGAATATGAAAGTAGATAGAACCCATGCGAACCATCAATTTAACCTCCGGTATCTCTTCAAGAGATGGCTCACTTGTGGTTAAGATATCTGCAACAGCTTCCCTTCTATCGTTCTGAGCTTGCAACAGCCACGTCTGGATCTTGCTCTTGCTCTCAGGCCTCTCATAGAACAGGTACCTGTGAAGTGAACAGAATTCTTTGATCGTCGATTCCAATATTGGAATCTCTGACTTCGTGATGTTGTGTCCCAGCAGGAACTTTGACATCTTTGTAAAGAGTTGGAAAAACCTTAAGAAATGTGGATCCAGATGACGTGAATAATAATCAGATGATAGTAATGCAGGAACCACAGATATCAATTGACGTACCTGACCTGCTTTGAGATAGACGTCAAAAGTATCAACTGAGGTTGGTGGCTCCCCAAACTCTGATGGACGTATATCCGATGTAGCTAATAAACTCCCTAATGCCGTCATCAGATTTGCTAGGATGTGAGTAGGCAAAGCATACTTCCGGCCTAGTAGAAACGTGTCTTTGGAATCTGAAAGAAGTCCAAGCATCTTTGGAAATAGATGTTCACACAGACAACTCATCACGTCAAACCCGATAATGCTGGTTTGTCCCATAGATAAGTCAAAATCAAAGACGGGCGAGCAGCTGCCAACATCAAGACAGGCACCCCCTAAGAGTTCCTCTGGTCTTTTTTGCAGAGGCCTCATATGAGTGGAACCACTACAGCAATTGTTGACTCCATGGTGATCTGGATTACAGTGCTGCGCTGGAATTTTGACCCATTGAAACAAGCTCTTCAGCATTGCCCGAAATTCGGCATCTTTCTGATGAAACTCATGATCACCTCCTGTCAAAGATGCGGTCGTAGAGAAAGAAAGCCTTGCTTTCTTCCTCACTGGACCTTCATTATCAAATTCATCGACGTAGCCTTCTAAACCATTAAATTCATTCCGCAATTGCTCAGCAGAAGAAACAGCAAAACCATCTTCATTACGGGAGAGCCATCCATTGTACTCAGTCGTTACAGGATGCTCATCTAAATGCAGCTCACTGGGGTCTTGAACTGCTTCCTTGACCTCGTTACACAATAAGCATGGCGTATCTCCACCAGCTCCACGAAGTGCAACAGATTTCGACAATCTGGGAAGATCACCAAAGAAATTAACAACAGTGGTGAACACGGTCAGTACAGGACTGTCCCCAGAGGTAGACTTGTGATTCTTCACAAGCATCCCCTTTCTCTGAATTTCAACAAATTCATCTGTCACGCAACTCAATAAGAATTTGGTGCTTCTTATTTCAGCATCAAGCATGGAAGGTGCCATATCGTTATCTTTGCCATCTGATTCACTGCCCACAGAATCAACACCTGTTTTCTTACGAGGAGCAGAGATGAAGCTTGTCAACTGGAAATCAGTGTCACTGTCGAAATCAACAAGTCTCATAACCAATGGCCAAAGCTCTCCGGGCTCTTTGAGTTGAGCCACAGACTTGGTGAACATCACGACACCATCACAGCCTAAAGTAACGGCCAACTGTATTTCACTCTCATCAAAGTATTTGGTGTTTGAGATCTGAGGTTCTCGTTCATTTGAGAGCTGAGTTCGTTTATTGAACTGTTTCATCCTCTTGACATACTCTCCGTTGTAGAATGTTTGTGGAGCATCTTCATCGGTACTTTGGCAATGATGTTTGGAGCAATTCTGTAATATAACATTGGAAGTTGATGGATCTTCAAAGAGACAGGCAATATGAAGTCGCGGTGATATAATGAAAGCCAGTTGCTGAGTTTTACTTGCAAAACATCCTGGTTGGAGTTTCTTGTTTACCGTTTGGCAAACAGGACAGACCCAATTAGTTGGTTCGTCCTCCTCAGTAAAGTCCGTAAGGCCAGAATCAACTGTGCAGAGATTGGTGCAGAATGGAAAGACTCGTACCAGCCCCAGTTTAATTAGAATTCTGATCATATTGTTTGCAAAAGTTTCAATGAAACGACTCTTTTCCATAAATATTTTCAATGCTGCTTTACCTTGTGTTACAGCCTTTGCGTTTTCAATGTCGTATTTTGATGCAACAGTGGTCTTATTCTTATCTTGATTGTCCTCTTCGTCATCCGACAAACCTGTAGTTGAAGAAAGTGAGCCCACAACTTCCCTGGCAGTTTTCATGAATCTTACAGTTGTAAATTCTCTTAACATTTCTGCTGCCTTCAAAGGGTTCTCTCCTGCGATTATATTTGCTTGGTTATTAGCATCTGTTTGAGTCAATGAGCTTATTCCGTATTTGATGAAGATATGGAACAATTCCAGTGTAATATACTCAAAGTTATCTATTCTCTTCTTCAATTTTCTTTTCAGTACTTGCAAGAACACAAAAGCTGCGTTTTCGAATGTGACC